CTACATCTTTCATTTAAATTACTGTTGCATGCTGCAGTGATTTAAAAAATAGCTGTGACACTGTAAAATCAATCTGTTATGGGTAGTCAGTGTAGGGTGATGATAATATGATCACAGCGATGGCATCATGCCCAAACAGTGAACAGCAGACATGCTTGCCTGGATGCTCTATTGTAATTGAGTTTGGGGTAGTGCTGTCCTGGGGTGATACTCAAATTATTGCTGTGTGCTCAACCCAGTAAAATGGTTAAGAACTGCCATTATTCAAGGTAAAAAAGTGAGCACAGAATTAATTTAATTTCTACTTTCCTCTGTAAATTCTTCTTTAATTATCCTTTAAGAAGTCTCTCATATCTGTTCCTCAACACTGGTGAGACTCAGGATATCAGGTCCCTAGGTCCCTGGTTTGATCTTATTCAAGTCTGCCAAGTTCCTCAAAGGAAAAAGGTGAGAGTGAGTGGCAAGGCATGAAGATGTCTCACTCCTTCAGGGCTAGGCAGAAAACCGTAAAGCACAAAGATGCTGAGAGGGGAAACTTACGTTGGATTCCTCTGCCCAGGATTGGCTGTTTCTTCTCTTCCATGCCACTCAGCCACCTTTGGAAGCAGTTCAGCAACATCTGAAGAGGATGGGAAAGCCAGGACCATGCATACGTTTGGAGCAGTTTCCCTTCTAGTCCCAGCAAAGGGATCTCATTGGTGGCTTTTAAAATGAGTAGAATTTAAAGCATGCAAGAACCAAAACCAGACTGAAATGATTCATGGAATGAAGCATGGAATGCACCCTTTCCCTTGCTGGTTTTTGTGCTTGTTGTTTGAAATAAGATCTATATTGGGCTCAGTGCAGCTACTGGGTTATCAGAGTGATTAATCTGTAACAGTGCAAAAGTGAAGACTTCTTTTCCAAAAACCAAAGCACTTTCACTACAATTGCTGATTTGGAATATGCTCCTTGGGCAGTGATCTGAACAAATACGTTCACACTGGGTTGATTTTTTTTTTGACATTGTACGTGAATAATTTTGTCTTTTTTTTTTTTTAATGGGCACCATTGTATTTGGCAGCTGCACAAAGATGAGTGTCTGGAAGTTGACTTTCTCTGCTGCTGTTGTCCAAGCAGAAAGCTCCTCCCTCTGCACTGCCCACCTGCTCCTGTTTGTTATTGCCAGTGCAGATCTCCGTTTAAGGAGTGAGGGCTCAACCTGACAGGAACATAGATGATGGACTCCACTGTATTGTTGTAGATCAGTCATGGAGGAAAAGACACTGCAGTGGAACCAGGAAATGCTGTGATTGTAGCAGTGTTGTCCTAATGGAGCCATGAAAGCTCTGCAGGTACTAATTGCAGTGGTGTCTGATTCTGTGTGTACAACGGGTACATGGTGCCATTTCTCTGCTCATCCCCGTAAAATGCTTGCATCATCCCAGTCTAATTGCTGCTGCTCAATGGAGACGGGATGCTGTGAAGGATCACAGGATGACTTGCTGGATGCGCACATCTATAAGGAAGTGAATTGATCAAAGGAGAACCACTGAACTACTGAACACTACTGAATATCCTTCTGTATCTGGTCACTGTGAAACAAGTCTGCTTCATAGGACATAAACGCAAATCTATTTCAAGTTTCTGAGTAATAGGAAATGTTGCAGTTTTCTGTGGTTTAGCAGGAAAAACCTGCAGTGGACACCAAAGAATTACCTTGGTTTTCTTTGTGCAATGCTCCTAAAGGTCTACTGCTGCAATATTTGTTATTTCTTAGCAACTCAGGGAAAGATGCAGGAAATGTTGTGGTATGAACAGCAAGGCTGGTAACTGCAGACACTGCTACTGCAGCAAGTCTAGTTCTTCAGTACACAGAACTTCAAGACAAGACAGTAAAAGGGGTGATGATAAGGCACAGGTGAAAGGCAGGATGAGGTCAGGTTTGTCTTATGTAGGATAAATTGGGTTTAGCTTGTATGGGTAAAGATAGCAACAACTTCACCTGGATTATTATTCTGCTGCTTTGTTAGTTCATAGATTTCTCATCCAATTTAAAAGGGAAATGTAAAAAGCCCAAAGACTTGAATGAATCCTGCTGTCCCTTTAACCAGAAAATGCTAAATGAAGTAGGAAGCTGATCTTGGAGAGCAATCTTCTTAGATGAGTACAATCTAAAAGTGGAATAATCCCTGAGGTCTCTCATTTTGCTTGCTATAATTTGGGCAGAAAGCAATCACGTGTGAATTTTTCAGAGCTATAATGCGCAGGTGGTTTTGTCCTTCTGTCTGCAGTGGCAGTGAAGGTGGCTGTTCTGCTGTTCAGTAAAAGGGTGGGAGATACAGAAGCTCTTTCAAAAACTCTACATTGCTGCTGAATATTTCTGAAGCTGTTTTGAGGATGATGGATAATTCTGAATACTTCCTCACAAGAGCATCTGTGAAGAGGTAGAAAATGGAGAAATGCCTTCTGATTGTCCTGAGAGATAAGCTGCTTTTTCCTGGGTGTAAATGTGTATGGTTGGACAAGTCCTCACTAATACCTGAGGAGGATTCATTATAACTGGTTTTAATCCTTCCTGAGGCAGGAGGAAAAAGGTTAATTGCCTGGTGAGAGGCATTTAACTGGCCTACAGACTGCTCAGAGCAATGGGGGAGGGAGGAATGGTTAGAATGAGAAGATGGGCTGATATTTCACAGCTCTGTTGTTCTTAGTCTGCTTATTATAGCCACCGATAACAGCAACGTTGTCCTGAGCAGTTTGTAGAAACAATAGAAGGATGTTTTCCTTTCCCTCTGCTCCATCTCTACAGCATATGCAGCTGGGAAAGTCTCAAGTGAAGTGAGGTGGCCAGAGTGTGTGTGGAAAATGAAGTGTTTTTAATCAGGGTGTAGGCCTCCTTGTGAGATCATTTTAGTTCTCTCTTTTGAGATGAGGAAAGCACCAAAGAGTTGGAAGTAAATCTCCATCTCCTTTGGGGAGATAGTAATGGACAGAATATTTCATTGGTGGTTCCTCTCTATGTCATTATTGAGAAACCTCTTGGGACCTTAATATCGGGAAAGAGTGAGATGGTCTCATAAGTGCTTTCCAGTCTCAAGAGCACATCAGTTGCTTTTAAGAATGTGCTAGGCATTAAGTAGGTATCACGAAGAAATAAGAATACATCAGACTAATTAGGCACTATTCAGCAAACATAAGGTAGGGAAGTGCTCTGAATGTCTGAATTACTGCTGTGAGTCAGAGCTCTCACTGTATTCTCATGCACTGCATTTTAGTAGGGAGCTGTTTTCCTTTCACACATGAGTAGAGCACTGCTAGTTTTAAAGCAGCAACTGATAGTTGGAAAACTGTAATTAATCTGAAGAATATAGTCAATATCAGCAGGCTGATGCTGTTTTAGAAATTAAGTGAATAATGTGAAATTATGCAAAACTATTGTCTGAAAAAGTCTGTCTTAGGTTACATGAAGAACTTTTTTTTTTTTTTTTTTTCTTTTCGAGGAAGGAAATATTTTGCCATTATCTTTTGGATTCCGGAGCATAGCAGAACTACTTAACTGCTGAGAATTTATTAGGATAAGGATTGATAAGCGTTTCATTTCATTCTGTGTCCTTCCAATCAGGTTCTTGCCCCCTTTATTTAATTGTAACTTTATTGTAATTGCTGTGTTTGTTGATAGAACACTCTGGTTCTATGAATTTAGTAGTTGCTGCTGTTACGCTTTTTCTTTCTGTAACATTCTTAGTCCACCACTGCCAATTTAGAGGACCATCTTAAATCAGTGTGGTGAGGCTCAGTCTTACAAAGTAATCATCTTCTCTTAGCTTTTTAAATCCCTTCTTATTATGAGTTCCAGGGGCTGCTAAAGGCTTAGACTGGAGCAGAGCCCTGCTGTGCCACAACCAGCACATAATTCTGTCGGGCCAGCAGTGCTCACTGTGTTTACAGTCTAAATAGGTAAAACCAAAAATGAAAAAGAAAACAGATACCCTATCATTACAGAACTTGACCAAGGTCACAGAGCAGAGGTGGAGTTGTTAGTTGAGTGCCCCAGTTCCCCAGTGACCAGCAATGCCTTTGCCAAACATGAGTGTGATGGTCACTGCTCTGTTGCTGCTTGGGAGCTTTGATACACGTAGGTGCATCACTCACTTGTCTGAGTATCTTCAGGATATGTAAGACTGAATTTCTCAAGTCAGATGGAGAAGACAGTGCATGATTATTTCCCAGTAGATTTGGAAGTGTATCTGAGCAGCCAAGAATGGAACAGCCGTGACTCCGTTGAGAAGCATGACACAAAGAACTCACAAGAGAGACAACGGGGTGCCTCAGTTTTGCTTACAGATCCTCCAGAGGAGCTATATGGCGAGATGTGCTCTGGCTTCATACAGATATCTGTAGGAAGATGGGAAGGAATCTGTAGCCCCCGTGGTAAATGGAAAGACCTGCTCCAACTGTGGGAGAACATCACCAAGGCAGTGTTACTTTTTTCCTCCACCTCTGACATAGAGGTTGGGGGTCCTGATGGCATGAGTAACAAGCAGTAAATAAAGTCCGTAACAGAGCTGTGCTGCACTCACGGCCCCTCTTCCCACAGAAACGAGCACGCAACCACAGCCAGCCTTCCTTCCAGCACGCTTTTTTATCCTGAATTGCGACTTCCCGTGTGGAGGTCAACTTTTACAGGCAGTGTCCAGCAGGAGGAGCTCTTTCTCCATTCCACCTCCTCTCCGCGCTCAGCCCGCCGCTCCCCGTACCCCGCTCTGTGGGCTCCGGACTTCCCTGGGCAGTGAACCCAGGGGATCTGTCCAGGGTACGAACGAAACACCGATTCTAGGGAATCTCTGCTACTACCGCCGCTGGGCGCGCAGCCCGCAGCCGGCTCCCCCCGCACTACCAGTCCCGACGTGCCCCGCGCGCCGCCGGCCGTCAGGGCCGCGCGCCATCGCCGGGAGCGCAGCCAATGGCGCGCGCGGGCCTCGCCGAGCGGCTCCGCCTCAGCGCGGCGGCCGCGGGGGGACTTTGAAAAGTTGCGAGTCGGGGCCCAACGCCGCCGGACACCCTGGGGTTGCCGTGCGGTTGGGCGCCGGCGCGGCCCGCTCCCGGCAGGGCCGAGTCTCCGCTCGCTGCTGGAGCTCGGGCGTCGGAGGGCGTAGAGCCGCGTTCGGGCTCCAGATGAGGCGGGAGTTTCAGGCTCTCCCGCGGCGCCCGTGTCGTTCGGTGTAAGTCCGTGCCGCTCCGGATGCGCTGTGGGTGTTTCTCCCGGCCCGGGCGCCGTCCGCGTGGCCGCCTGTTGCCCTCGAGCGGGGCCGTGCGATGCGCGGCTGGGTGCGGTGTGCGCCGAGGCGGGCGGCGCCCGGGCCGTGCGGCCGTCCCGGTAAGGGCTGCTAGCGGCGCTCCGCCGGCACCTGGCCTTCCGCCTCCGCTCCGAAGCGGGCTGCGTGCGGCGGGCGCCTTGTCTCCGTCTCGCGAACGAGCGAGGGTCTGCGCGTCCGCACAGATGTAGGCGGTGCAGGCTGCTTTTGGTTTCGCGTGAACTTCTGTGAGCGAGTGGTAGGAATGTCACCTAATGCTACGTGTGAGATGTGCTTGAAAGCCTGCTGGCGGAGTTGAGTACAGCCACGTGTGGCTCTGCCTAGCGGGGTGGTACAGCTCTCCCCGCAAAAAAAAGCACACAGCTGGGGGTTAGGGAGACTTCACGGAGCAAACGCAGTTGCATAAGTTAGTCTTAGGGCTCATCCAAACTAAGCTACTCTTTAAAAAGAAGTCTCAAAACAATAAATAAACCTGAACTGACTTGTCTACACCACAATGCCTCGTTCCAATGTTGTGGGTTGTTTTGGTTTTGGTTTTTTTTTTGCTCTGTTTTTAATTCAGTAATATTTACATTGTAGTTCTGGTGTTCACACACTTAGCTTTGACCTCTAGTTTCTTGCATGTGATTTTTTAAAGTAAAAGAACCCCCTTTTAAACAGTGTTTTCTATAAAATTTACATAGAAGGTTATGAAATGGTTCTGAACAGTTTGTCTTGGATCTTGCATGCTAAAATGTGTTTCCAAACCTCTGGTTATTCTTTTGTCTCCATCCTGCATCCTTTGACATCTCTGTTGCATACCTGATCACCACAAGCTTGTTGTATTTTAGCAGTTCTAGGTCTAAGTAAATCGTGTCATTATTGTTCAATTTTAGCATCCTGAGAGAACCTTCTTTCCTTCTGGTGCTATTTAGCACAAGAAGTTCCTTTTCAACTCATTGCTGAGTGTTTTGGGGCTTGCTTCTTTCTCAGAAACCCATGTCATACAAGCACTGCAGATTCTTTGTTCTTATTGTTATGATCTCCTAATGATCCAATATTAGGTGATGTAATTAAACAGAACTGTTTTCTGTGTAGTAAGGTTATTTCTTGTGACTTAGGCTTTCTATACATGCCTATACATATACATGTATGTTCTTTCCTACTCTTTAGCAAGGAAAGGGTGTAATTGTTTGCACAGGCGTGTTCTAAGCAGCCTTCAAAAACTGTTTTGTTTGCTTTGCAGACCAAGCGAGTATGGCTACTAAGAAGCTGAGAAGAGCAAAGTTGTCTCAGGAGCTGTGTGAAAGATTAAGCCGCTATCAGATCACTACTTGCCAGGTGAAAGGGTTACTCTATGGCTTTGGATTACTTCTATTTTATTAAATTTCTATGCTTAATTTACATGAAGCCTTACTGTCTAGTAAAATTTCTGGCTCAGTCTGCTTACCTTGTAAAAATGTTGCTTTAAGATGATGGATGGCTAAGGCATTCAAATGTGGATATACTTACTATCTTTTCTTCTGGAAAAAAAGAAAAAAAAGGATACTTTATTTTAGGAGAGGTGTGTAGCTACCTCTACATGATCCCTCACAAAAACGCATGTACATTACATAATCTAGCATCTATGAATGTGTTATGAAGCTATTTTATCAGTTATGGGTTGATTCATCAATACATTCAAAAGTTGTTGTGTATGTTTCTTTAAAGAAAGGAGAGACTCTGTGTATTTCAGAAGCATGCGTGGTAGATGCAAGATCTATTCCTAAAATTGCAACCTAAGAAAATGCAATGTAATTTGAATGTTTTTTGGGTAGATAGACACCTCTGTGGGGAAAAAGGTATTAACTCGTTAGAACTTCATCACAGTACTTACATTTTTAATTCATGCTGTGTCTTTTAAAATATAAATCCAATTTCTTCTGTGATAACCTTATGATCTTCAAGGTTCCTTCCAACCCAAACCATTCTATGACTCTATAACTTACTGGCATAAGAGAAGGGTAAAAGAGGTATGAGAAAACACTACATAACGTGGCACAGTTGGTAAATCTGGCCTTTGGAATGTATACTAGTAATGTATAAATTGTATTAGTTTAGTCCTTAGTCTTGATCTCCTGGTTAAGCTCTCTGAACTGTTCTATCTTCTTTCAGGACTTCTTATGTCTTTCACTCTTGGAACTAATGAAAGTGACAGGACAGAGCTACAGAAATGTGCAGAAGCTTCTTCGGAAAGTCAGCCAAGCTTGTGCTCCCAAAATGCAGACAGTAAGTATGCTTGTGTTGGTTCTATTTTTAATTTTTTGTCTGAGAAAAAGCTAAAAGTGTTGCTTATGTTTTTATCAGGGAGTGGGGTGATCTAGCTTTGTGGTGTCTCAGTTTGATTGTATAATGAGATAATAGTTTTATGTCTAAATTTAGATCTGTGAGTGACTTTAGTTTGAGATGGCAGCTTCTATTAGGCATTTTAGCTTAAGGAGATTGTTTAAACTTACAGAATTGGTCCTGAGTCCCCTAGGGTAATATACCATTCTCTTGCATTCCAGCATATAAAAATTGCTTCATTTGAAGGAAGCATTTACTAGTAGAAGCATGGATTAAGAATCACTGAATGAAGTTTTAGAGTCTGTGTTACTCAGGAAAATGAGTCTGGAAGATTGTTTCCATGGTTAATGTAGAAAAGAAAAAAATACATATGTATACATATTGCTTTGCAAATCCTTCTTCATCAGTGTCTGTATTCACTCTTGAGTGCTTCAGAACACAAACTCTTAATGAGGTAAAATGTATTATTTGTTTTGTATGTTCTATGTCTTGAAAGCTATCTTGTGGGTATTTATCTTTAATAGAATAACAGCATATATGAAAGATTTTGAAGTATTACTCTAATGTAATTAGAGTGTTCCTCACTCTCATAAGGAAAAACTGTAGTATGACAAAGGAGACTGTACTGTATAAAATTCAAGCTGTTTTACTCTGCTGGTAGAACTAGCTGAGAATTTTTCTGATGAACTTTGTAGAAAAATTGCTCACTCATTGGCCTAACAAGTATGGACTAAAAGATCTGTGATTCGGTAGCGTGGTTGTCTGTTGATGATTCCTGTGGAGATGCATCCATAGTGCACTGTATTTCTAGCCGGCTGGTGACATCGTTGTCTGGGTTAAAACTGATGCCAGTATTTCTCTTGGGGATAGAGAAGTCTCTTGGAATTTTAGGGACTGAAAGCAAGCCTCACAGAATGGGAACAGAGAATACTTTTGAAACATTGTTACAAAACTTAATGTTTAATGTTGTGGTGAATGAGGCACAAGAAACAAACTTACTCTGTGAACTGTAAATAGTATATAAGTCTAAGGAAGGCTAATGGATGGGGGGAAGGGGAGGTAGGGAGACTGTAACTGAAAATTAGAATAGTTAGCTTACTTGCAACTACTGAATCAGTCTAGGCTGATGAAAGCAAATATGAGAATTTCACAGCCTGAACCACTGATTGAGCACCTGGGGAAAGGACCTGGTCAGCCCTCAGAGCACAGGTGAAGGCAATTCAGCTGTGTGACCAGAAGGGGTGGAGCCTGGCTGCACTGCTCTGAGACTCCATTTAAGGGCTGACTGCCACTGGGGAAGGATCTTTTTCTGGAGATCACTCCTCTGTGCAGTCTTCCCTGTGAACCTAGATCTTCGGATACAGGTGAGCATTCCTTCCCTGTTTGTTTCTTTTCCCACTTTCATCATGATAATCTTTCCAGCTGTAACACCACCAAAAAAAGAAAGCATCTTCTAACCTGTGTTTTTTTATTGTTCTTTTTTTTTCTCCTGTTTTAGGCTTATGAAATGAAAATGAGGAGGTCTGTCAATCCCTCTACAGCCTTCTTACCCACCTCGCTGCATAGTCTGGATAAGGTCTTGCATGGTGGAATACCTTGTGGATCCCTCACAGAGGTAACTTTTTAATGCATTTTAATGCAGTTTCACACCACACCTAAAAATCACAAGTCAGTGGTTGGCCTGTCTTGTGTCAGACCACTTAAACACACAGTGAACAAACAAATTTGGATGAGAAGCATTTTTGGGGGTATTTTTTTCTGCAGCCTGTCAAGTAAGTAAGAAAATGGAAATAAATAGGTGATTTGCTGACTCTGTTTTCCTATGAAAAAGACACTAAATTTTCCCGGGAGAACTGGGAGAATTGTTGTTCAGATTTTATGGTGAGAAGGGTACAGAGTGGTTTAGTGGTCAGAACATGAGGTGCTGAGTCAGAAGCCCATCTGTTTAGTACCTTCTCACTGATTTACTAAGTCTTCAGGTTTTGGGAAGGAGAAATGAGCAATTAAGACAAAAATGTGAAGGATACAGGAGTGGAAATTAGAGATTTTTTTTTTATGTATAAATTTAACTGATCTTTTCAATAAATATGAAATGAGTAATCTTTTTGAAAAGATGTTGCAATTAAGGCTTATATCATATGTGTATCTATTATATAACACTACAAATAGCATATTTACAGCTATTACTGTCACTGCCTTTGAATGCAGTGCTACTTTTTTTTTGCTTGACGTTGTCCTTTAAGAATAAAGAAGTGTTTCATCTTTTAGTACTTGAAAGCTGCATGCCCTTGTTTGTGCAGTTGCTACAATCCAGAAATGCAGAATTCGCTTAAGTGCTTGTAGGGGACATTGAGTTTTGTAAGACTGGACCCAGTCTCTGGCTTAGGAAGTTTCTCAGCCGCAGATGAAGGTAGAGAAATGTATTTATTGGAGGAAGTATCAATGTATGTCCTGTTCTTACTGTGTTTTCTAGCCATCTGTTATAGGCCTATGTTAGAGACAGAATCTGGTGCTAGATGGACATTGTGACTCTGTTACTTGCCTTCTCAAAGTGGAGTTCTGAAAAGACATGTCTCCTATGCTCTAAATTCAAATAGATTGAAATACGTTTTCCTTGATAGTATCCTTTTATAGTTCCTCTAAAGTGATTTTCTTTGTGAAATTTCAACTTGCGAATTGCTGTGGAGTAGAAGTGAGAAGATATAAAAAAAAAAAGATACGTTTTTTTCCATGCTCCATAGTCAGAGTAGGTTGATTTTGATCACAGAGTGAAATTGCTTACAAAATCTAATGGAGACCTCAAACATGTTAAAATATAAGCAATGCTGAGTTTAAACTATGACAATTGGTGCCAGAAATTAGTTGCTTTTTTTTTTTTTAAATAAAGTATTTTGTTTTTCTCTTAGGTACTAGCTCTGTAAATTGATTAAGGTGCATATTAGTGGTTTCTCTGCAAGTGAGAGGCAGGGAAGAAATTCACTCTGCAGAGTCTGGTTTCTGTCATTTAAAATCTGATTCTGGAGTGAAAGCATTTTTACGAAAGTCATGAGACCAGAATTAGTTTCAAAATTGGCAGCACTGCAAGTATTTTTCAACGTGATTGTTAGATGAAATTGCATTAGGAAGCTATCAAATGTTAGTTGGTGCTGCTGTGATGCTTTACAGTAGCTTGTGAACACAACCTGTGAAATGTTCTGCTTGGACTCAAATGATTTTGGAGCTTAATCATTCTAACTAGCACATCTGTAACTTCCTGGAGCATAGCTGCCCAGCAGATTATCCTCTGGTATTTTTGTTGTTAGGCAGATGTTCCATGTCTGAGAGAAGTTCTCTCCAAAAGTATGTTGTGTGCAGCACTTAATTCCTGACTGGTGTGGCTTAATCTTGCCTTCCTCTTACTTTACCCAGCAGTGAGGGTGGCTGGGAACTTTAAAACTTGGAATTTGAATGGTTGAGTCACAGAGTCCTGGTGGTTTCTTCTAAGCCAAACCTACTCACTTTTTGAGTGCCAGAGGGATTTGATTTGCATTTCACTGTCTCAGATCATTTTTTCTCAAACCTCTTTTAGATTTTATGTTGGAAATTAAATCATAACTGAAATTTTGTGGTTAAATGTCAGAACTTTTTGCCAACTCCTCTGAGAGAAAATTAAAGTAATGACTTTGTGAATATTGAGGGTTTGATTCCTGGATAGCTGAAGGAGAATTAGTTCCTTGTGACTTCATCCAAGTACTTCATGAATGCCAGGGAAAATAATATATAACCTATTGGAAAAATAAAAGTCTATTTTATTAGACAGAAGTAAACAAGTTGTTATATTCTTCATGTTTCTGCTTGGGTGTATTTTTGATTTTCAAAATAAATTTAGAGTGTAGCAAACTGAGCAAGTTTTTTGCAGTCATCCGCTTTAAATAAAACCAGAGGCAGCTAAGAGTGTGTGTTGTTTTTTCTTTTTTAAGAATGAAGATTGTATTGATCAAAATGCTTGCTGAATTGGTGGTAACCATAATAAAATGTGATATCTGTATGTAATTGTTTATTGTGGATTATTTTAAATCCCACACCAATGCACTTTAAAAAGAATGGTGATAAAAGATGAATTGTTCAGAGAAAGCTCTCTATCCAGCTCCACTGGATTGCTTTCTCATACTGTCCTTTACTGCAATGCTCCCTGTCTTTCTTTGATCTGCTGCACATACTCTCAGATGTGCTTACAGCATCTCTGCTGCATTAATTACTGCAATGAGCAGTGAAATAAATGTTGATTCTGAGGCACCTCCTGGGCAGGCCTCAAACTACAAACTGTCTGAGGTTTCCTCACAGCTGTCCAGTTATTTCAATTTAGCACCTGGATTGATGCCCTTCTCTCATTCATTTCAAATCTTGTTAACTAGAAACAGCTGGTGAGACTCCTTGGCTATTACAGTCTGAGAAATGGTTTCTTCAAATCTTATACCATTTTGGGTTCACATGAAAATGTGGAAAATATTGTGGATACAATATCTTGTAATTTAAATACAGTGGATGGATGACAGATAATTGCTTAGGTACAAGTCATTCCTCGTCTTTAATTCACTAAATGCAGTATGTGTTTCTAAACAAATGCTGATGTTTCTCTTGTGCTGAAGCTTGAAGTGGATTGACTGATATAACTTGGTTTTCAAGCCTGGGATTTTAACTAAAGAACAAAAACTTAGTTCCTATTAAACTGTAGCACAGATGCAGTCACTGGGGCACCTAAAATCTTTCTGTGGTTCATAGCGCGCATTCAGACTACTCAGGATACAAGCTATTGTCTTTGTGATTTCCAGGTTAATCTTGATTTTAACAGAGGTAATCATAATAGCAAGTTTTACTTTGCATCTGTGAATTCAATGGCTTTTGACTGGCTTAGAGCTGTAAAGGTAATTTGATGTCAAGTGAATGTCAGCTGTGTATCTTTTAATCATGCTCTATTATAGAAGGTAGCACATGAGGAGGTAGAAGTAACTGGGGATGGCTCTGGGGAAGATCTTGTAATAAGAAGGGACCTCAAATATGGGAGAACAAAGTAGGGAAAGAAGGATGATAAAGTACGAGCAGAATACTGCATGTGAAGAATTCATCTTCAGTGATGATGATTTTGACTGCAAGGCACAGATCCGACAGTAACTGCAAGTTGTTCTTTGTGGGCTGCATTTTATCTTTCTTGTGCCTGTTGTCTTTGATACCTAGAGGGGCAGAAGAAGAGGCATTCTTGCTGATAGGCCTTTTTAAAAATTAAAATTAGGGTGAAATGGATGTAACATCTCTTGGTTATGATGTTATTAATATTTTTCTTCTAGTTAACAAGCCCACCAGGTTGTGGCAAAACTCAGTTTTGTATTACAATGAGTGTTCTGGCTACACTGCCTGTAAGCATGGGAGGACTAGATGGAGCTGTTATATACATTGACACAGAGTCTGCATTCAGTGCTGAAAGGTAAGATGCAAAACTGTACAATACACGCTTTGAACTTCTCTAGCATTTTTTATCTTGGAACCTTCATTTTATTTTCTGAGCATTTATAAAATAAATATGGTGGGTATTAACCATTCATCTGATATATGCAGTTATTCTGTAAGTTATGAAATTGTTTGAATAGGATGGTTTGCTCACCTTCCTGATTTGCAAGGTGTTCAGCTGTGCAACAAGCTGGATAGTACTCTTTCTAATTTAAAAATGGTCATAGCAGTTCCATATTGAAAATTTTTTTTCTATTGCAAAATAGTTGTAATATTGCAGGTGGTGTCTGTTGTACAGCTTTGTCAGAGCATGGGCATTGGAACAGTAGATGGAACGGCCATAGTGATTTCAGGAATCAAAATTTTTTCATCAGTTTTGTGGCAGTTCAAGTCACCTCTTCCTAGCTATTAACTGAAAATGCACCAAACTTCTGTAGAAAGTCTGAAAATGCTTACTCTTATAGCTGTGTCTGTTGTATGTGGGTAAAAACACAGGATTCAAATTTTTGTGAACTAAAGCTGAGAACAGCAAAGGATTTTTCTATCCTGTGAATCTCTGCTCTGATAGCAGAGAATGTGTTCTGTGCAGTTTTTAGTTTCATCATGACAAATAGGATTTATCTTTTAAAGATCTTTGCACCTACATGGTACAGTATAGATAATACTGTGATCACAGCAAAATTTTGTTGCGTCACTCTAAGACAATTTGTGTAATATTGTTTTCTCATATGTATACCTATTAGAAAGTATAATGAAGTTTCATTTCTTACGGACCACTGAATGACTTTCAAATTGAATGGTTGTTGCCCAAAAGGTTTACATAATTAACTGTGCAGGCATAAGGAAAAGATTCTGTCCCTAGAAGTTCAGGACAAGTTTATATATATATGTGTATATATATGTAAGTAATGTATGGAATGAGTTTCAAGTTACATTTAAAGTGCTTGATCTTTCAAGTATAGTTGTTTTAAAACTCAAAAATTATAAGAGGCTTAAATAAAAAGATATCTGTAGACATAACTTTCTGGTTATCCACTAGGTGTCATTCTTCTCAAGCATGTGGGCTGCAGGGTATGGCAGCTTAAATTGCAACTACATATTTTTTTGTTTCTGTTCTCGAATCATATAGGTACAAAGGGGAAAATGCCTGGTGCTCTAGATTTTAGCTATCAGTTGTTAAAATCTTGGATTCAGCTGTAAGAACCTAGATAAAATTGCCTTGTGTGCACAGGTGTGGAACTTCTTTCTACTAATTAATAGAAAATTAGCAGACATAATAAAATGTGTTCTTTCTGTGTCTTTGATTTCATGTATGCAAGTTGGTTGAAAATGTGGACCTCTTATCATTAAACTTCTTCTGTAAACTGTGTACGGACTTATGTCTTTTCTGAACGTACCTTTGACTGTAGCATCACTGGGAGGAGAATCTAAATGTTCTGATTTCCAGTATTTCAGTCTGCTGCTCAAGTAAACTTCCCCTTTGAAAAAGATTTCCTGTACTACATGGTATCTACTTATCATTCAGAGCTTTCATTTGTGTACTTTGTGAAAGCTTGGTGCCTTATTATCTGCATGTGATTCTTTATTCATTGTTATGCCTTTTGTATCTTCGATAGGTTGATAGAGGTAGCAGGAAACAGATTCCCTACTTATTTTGACTCTGATGAAAAGCTATTTTGCATGACCCGTAGCATTCATCTGTATCGAGAGCTGACCTGTGATAGTGTACTGAAGAGGTATCCTTTTCCAAAACTTTAAGGGGGTGGTGGGAATGGATTTTGGCTAGGTTGTCTAAGATAATATATCAAAGTTTTATGAAGAGTAATTCATTACTTGGAAGCTTTTGTGTTGATAACAGCATGGTTCCCAAAAAGGAAAATTACTACCAAAAGACTGGCATTGCTTTTCTCATTTCATAGTCTCGACTAATCCACTTGATGTTTTACAGTTTCTGAGAGAGAATTTCTATAGAATTTGAACATCATAAGCTTTTAAGGAAGGAGTGTTTGTCTGATAGATCTTGTCTTGGTTTGTGGAGATACCATAGTGTTAACTATGTTTACTGTGAAACAGAAAGGAGGTATTGCTCTTTCAGAGTGCTGCTTAGTTCCGGAAAGACCTGGACCCCTCTAACAGTTGAAGGGAGGAATTGCTTAGAAGTCATCATCCTGAAAGCAATGTTGTGTTGTTGTCTTGTTAATTTATGTTGATTTTTTTGAGCACATATTATAATGAAAGTAAAAGTTGAGCATCAGAATCTTCTTGTGTATTTTGTTAGAGGGACAATTATTGTAAGAACTGTTTCTTCTAGTACAGCTTTATCACAGAAGAACAACTATTAGCATATTACCAACATATTAAGTTTGACTTACCATCTTTGGAGGCATACAGAAGCAGATCTGCCTGTCTGTGTATATAGGCAGCAGGTATTTTGTTGTTAGCAATGGGATGCTGCTACTGTATGCGAAAGGCGCTGCCTCAGTTCTCACTTAACTTGCTGTCTGTGCCACTCAGAGTTTATGGGGGATAGTGTTGCTAAGCAGAGTGTCTTCTGAACCTCTCTTGGAGGGGCTTGCCCTGGGTTGTGTGGCCTGTTGGAGCCTGAGATTCCTTTCTAGATCTCTTCATTGTTTGCAGATGTTAGTGGGGGCAAGCTATGAGGGAGAAAGAGTGACTTAAGCTTATTAAAGAAAACCTTCTATTTAAATAATTTCAGGATTATTAAACAGTTATATTGTATAAATAATGTTATTGATGGCTTGTTATTTTATTTTTTTTTAGAATTAAGTCTTTAGAAGAAGAAATTATTTCAAAGAAGATTAAACTCATAATAATTGACTCTGTAGCTTCAGTTGTCAGAAAGGAGTTTGACACAAAACTCCAAGGCAATCTGGCAGAGAGAAGTAACTTTTTGGCTAGAGGAGCATCACTGTTGAAGTATTTGGCAGAGGAGTTCTCAATACCAGTAAGTTCTTTTTAAGTTTCTGCTTTATGGTTTCAAATAATAAAATGCAAGAAGAATGGAAATGACAAGATAGTGAAAGGCAGGTAAAGCTCCTGCTACAAATCTTCAGGCAGGTACCTGCTGAAAAATACAACTGGAACAGAAAATAACTTGGTGTTGCTTGTATTGCTTTTTTCTCAATATTGATTTTAGTCTTCAAATAAGGATTTTACTGATTGTCTTCCCAGCTGTTTGTTTTTTTTAGTGCTTTGTTGTTCAGTTATTTTAAAATGTTTTATTCTGTTGGTATTAACTATGGTTTACTGTGATAGTTCCCATCTTTTGCCTTTTCTACTGAAGCTTATAGAATCTTAAAAGTCTTTATACTCTGAAGTGTGTACCTTTTGCAACTGATAACGTGTGCCAGCTGATGTGGGAAGGAAAATAACAACAAATCTATGTGGATTTGCCCATAAACTGCTATGGAAGGATTTACTGTATCACAGACATGCAGTGCAAGAACTGATTGAAAATCATTAAAAAGCACATTAGAAGATGCAAGCTCCATAAATATAGGTGTCTTTTTGGGGCTGAGGTTTTTCTCTGTGATGTGATCTGTAGGTAATCAGAAGCAGCAGTCAAGAGATGTGATTGAGATTCAGCTGTAGGAAATACTTTGTAGCATAAGTAAACTTCTTGTCACTCTAGTGTAAGAGAAAGCGTTTCAAGATCCTGATTTAAACTGGTGAGTTCTCTTCCCTTTGCTGCTTTTGAGAAGTATACATCTCAGAGTTGTAGAGCTGACTTAGCTGAAGATGAATGGATTTCCTTTTGCCATGTAATTGATAAAGGTCTTTTATGGAGAGAATTAAACCCTGCTTAATTTCCTTTGAGTTCTGATACAAAAGATAGTGTCCTAGTTAGTACCAAAGTGAATATATTGCTTTCAAAGCCAGGGAAGATGTGCTACATTAAGAGTGTACATTTCTGTATTTTGGGAAAAAAAGATGCAATCCTATGAAAAAGGAGATGGGTTTTCATGGGTAGATATTGGTTTTTATTTATTTTTCTGTCCTCCTCACCTGCCTACCTCAGTTAAAATGGTAAAGCTGAGCTGGATTGCAGCCTCTTGACACTTCAGACTGCTGCCCTGCTTACGTTCAAACAGTGTTAATATTTACAGAGGTCTTAGAATTGGACAACATTAGTGTAAGACTGATTTTATTTCATCCTACGTGGAAAGGAAACGAAGGTTGAACACTTAAAGGTTTCAGTCACATTAAATCTAATGTGCTTGCTTCAGGGCATTTGTGATGACTGGTGTGCTGGTTCTGTTTTTGTTTCCCATTGTGAATGCTCTAGTAAGGAGTCTGGGAATCTTGGCCAAGAGTACGTGCTTCTGACCACAACTATCCTTCTGTATTGCTCTATGAGGTGTTTTACCTCTTGAGTAAAATCTTTAAAGTTCTGTGTACATTCTAGGAAGGCCTTGGCTCAAGATGGAGGTTACCACAAATGCAGGTCCCTAGGCAGTGCTGTGTATGTGTAAGATGTGAAATGCAACAGCAGAATGTTATGTATCTGCAAGTGTTTGTACATACATAGACTTCTATCTTGTGCTAACCTCTGCTATTTCAGATCAGGGAGTATCTGAGGTTCTTACTGTAAACAGCTGTGGTGGAAACTTTCCCAGATGTTCTTCCATATCTAGAAGATTATAGATATAAACTTGAGACTAAAAGAACATTAGGAAGGGTTGCAAAGTGATTTGGATCATTAATAAACTGGATGCATGAAATATGTGACACTTCATGGTGGTACTGGTGCACCTAAATATTGAGTTGAATGGAAAGTAGGTGGACTGAATTAAAGGCTCTGAAAAAGATGTGGAGGTACTAAATGATAGTATTTGAGGTCGGTTCTTTAGATGGGTGGAAAAACTGAGTAGGTGAGCCAGGGAATCTGAACTGATGACAAATCAGGGTCCAGAGACTAGCCTTGAAAAAATTGGGGATTAGGAGAGAGGAATTTCTTTAACAAAGATGTAAGAATCTTACTTTGTTTAGCTTGGCTAAGTAAGTGTTAAGGGTTTTTTTTCTTTAGTCAATACATACTTGAGAAAAGGTATTTGATAGAGAAAACCTTGTCAGCTGACAAAGGTATTCTCTTTTCTGTAGTTAGAAGCTGAATTAAGCAAGTTCAGACTTCAAGAAAGGGATGTGTTCTTAATGAAGTAATTAATCATTGTAATATGTTACTAAACTGAAATAGGTTCTTGTCACCAAGAATTTTTAAATGTTTTCCCCTTCCCCATTTCCCAAAAAAGAAATTGTTTTAGGCTTTGATTTGAGAAACCTTGTATAACCGTGTTAGCTGGAATTCAGATGAGTTTTACGTAGTTCTTACCGTTATAAATGCTCTAGCTAATAATGATTATGTACTCGTGTTGGACATGTGCTGTGTTTCATTAGCAAAAGTCAATAGCATTCATAGCTTTTACTGAATTCAAAGGGACCTGTTTCATACCCAGGTAGCTTTATAAGCTATAAAGTATTCCAGGGGGGAAAATTAAAAAGCGAAGCATATCTTGCTGCCTCAAAACTGATGGTCATCATTCAGTAATTTGTCTGCACTTCTGTTTTTTGGTTTGTGAAATGGGAGTTTTGTTGTGAGTGTGCTGAAGAAAGTTATTGTTACTAGTTGTTGTTCCAAAAGCAGACTACTGTTGAGCAACATATATACTGCCACTGGAAAGTAATACTTCCCAAATCCACTTGAAAATTTTAAATAATCTATAACAAATGAAATTCTAATCCACTTCAGAAAGTGAGGAAAAAATATTAAATATGTGAATTGAAAGGCTTTACCACTGAATTAAACAAAATGAGAGTATTATTGAGTGTGAATTTTTGCTTGGCGTAATTTCTTTTTTAATGTATGGACAGCATAAATTCTTGAGAAATAAAATATGATGCCCCGTTTCCTGTTTTCATTCCTACTTCTTCCTAACATTGTAGTAAATTTGGTTCCATTCTAGGTGCTTTAAGTGGTACCCGGACAAGAGGCAGCATGCAAGCAAGGTTTTGATTGCTTCTGGGCTATTGACAGGCTGCCAGGAAGCTGTGCTGATGACTGAACAGTCACTGAATCTTTTCTCTGTGGGGGATTATGTAGTGGTGTCCCTTTCTATCCTTCCCTGCACATTGCAATGACTGAGAACTGTTCTGGCTGGGTTGGTTGAAACAAGTCAGTCAGCCCAAAAGTGGTTGCTGGAAACGGAGGAAGACAGTTTGACTGTAAATCAAACAAAAAGCCCCTCTGTTTTTGAAATCTAGTGAAGATGTAAACGTACGTGAAAGACTTCTGTTTTGAGTGTTGTGTATTCAAAAGCATTTAGATCTGAAAGTTTTCTGTGACAAAAATTCTGGATTGATGCTGTCTGCCAGATGGCGTGTTTAAGCAGCGATCATCAGTCCTATATCTCAGTCATTTCCTGAAATCCTTAGCCTTCCTAAAAGGAATGGGAAGCAAAATGTGTTCTGGGTATTACTTCTCTTTTTCTTCCATGTTCATAGGAAAATATTTATTCAGGAAAAAATAGGTCAGTATTCACATTGTTTGGGGAGGAAAAAAAATGGTTCCTCCATTTCAGACAAGAGCTAAAATTCAATAACAGTATGACTAGAATTGCTCCTGAGTTTTAGCTGCTCAGCTCATAAAAGTTATTTGTAGAATCTGGTCATCTTGTTGTTAGTAGATGACAAAATGTGTGAAGCTGACTAGACATCTCTGTGGAAAAGCACTCCAAAAGCAACGCTTGCAAAACCAAACTGCCTTAAGTAGTCTTCTAAATATCAAATTGAGACTGGAGATTAAACTAGCTTTGCAAATCCCTAAGGCTAATCAAAAATTACTACGCTGTCTGTCCTTTATTCTTTTGTCTGGGATTCTTCCTTAGATCCATGAAGAGAGACTGTTATTGTGATAAACATGCTGGCTATCATTACTAGTAGCAAATGTATAATGGTATTTATCTTTTTTATGCTGCTTTTGAGAATATGAAATAGCTTAAGAGGAACAGCTTTCTCTTCTCATTTGTAATTTTACAGTGCAAGAGGAAGGCAAACTTCAATTAATCTTGATGGTTTTTAATTGCTATGTGAAGTTAACAGTAATCAAGAAGGCCTTTATTTCTGCAGGTAGCACTTGGTTCCTTTAGATGCAGTGTGCTCCATCTGAAAACAACAAAATTATCACTTTATCAGTATTAATAGTGACAGCGATTAAAGCTGACAGTTTCTTTTGATATTCTCAGCTCTTGCACTTCTCATTTCAGTACTTCCTGCTCAATCATGTATTTTGTGAACTTTAGACACAAGGTTTTCATTTGGTTTGGAAAGCTGAATATTCAGTGGGCTGTATGCTTGTTTTTAAGCCTGTGAGTTTTTCTTCTCAAAATCAATGCATTGAAACTACTTGACTTCTGCAATGTCTTTTCTGCTGTCTTCTGTTAAGTGTGTTTAAGTGTATCAACTGAGCTTCCTGCAGTAAGGTTTCTCAAGATCTAAAGTGCTTCTGTTGTCAAAGGGAAGTAATGTTGGAGCTGTTAATTTTCTTTCTTTATAAGCAAGTATTTCCACTGGGTGCCATCCTTGGTTCTTCTTTGTTTTGGCTGCGTGTATCTCCTCTGCACCTTTATTATCTCTGTTGTGATAATTGAAGCTACTGGCTTATGGAGAGCTAAAGAAATTCCAGAATGGAAGGTTTCTGGAGAAATATTGTTTAGTAGTTCAAGAAAAATTGTATTAATGAAATTATAAGTTTTTCCTCAACATTCATTAGAATTAGTTTTCATGTTGCTGTATGTAACTGTTGTATGCAGATATTTCCAAAACTGTGAAGATGCATTAGATTTCTAGATTCATTTGTCTGCATCTGGACCATAATCTCCTGAATTGCAAACTTTGTATTTCTACTGTATTTTTCGTATTACACTGTCAGGACTATGGGAATGTTAATTG